AGACTGGACAAACATCCATCTAGAAGGGTATAGGGTTTCCTGCTTGAGTAGGGGGTTGGAGTAGAAGACCTCCAAAGTCCCTTCCAACCCTGCTATTCTATGATTCTGCTTGTTTTCAATGCCATTATTTGCCTATTGTCATTCGCCCACCTGATTAACTGAAATCCTGAGATTGAAGGACTATTAGAGATGGCGGAAAAGTCTGCTAGATTGCTGAATACATGCCAAAGAGCGTAATTAATGTGTTGCACTGAAAGTGTTTGGTAATTCCTCACTCACACTCCATTCTTGAAAAGGATTTAAGAAAAAGCTAATAGGAATACAGTACATGACGGCACATATACTGTATATCTCCAGGATTAAAAAAACAAAAACCAGTGTTAACACCACAGGGGCCCTTTCTGTCTTAGGTGATTCCCCCACCCCACCCCTTTTTTCTTCCTTTCCCCACCTCAAAAGAAGCATACCTTGGATTTTATGTCATCAAGTCTTTATTTAGTTGCAAGGAAACCGGCTTGTTTTGACTGTCTGAACAGATCCTGCATAACTGTGCTTGAAAGGACGGGCAGTCTGTTGATGCTAAGTGAAGGAAAGACAATTTTCTTTCCTCGCTCACACACCATCTGTTGTAGCTACTGTGGGCGGTGGAGAAAACTGTATCTTGTGGCATTTGTAAGAGGCCCAACAGCCAGTGAGATTAAGCAAAGACAGTTGGCCAACTGAGAACAATCTGTAAGACATCTGCTGGGATAGCTTGCATCAGAGCAGTCTTTCCTCTTGTGGAGAGTGAGAAACGCAAGAAGGCTTCATCTCCACTACCAGAAGTATGCAGGTGCCCTCAATCCGCCTAAAACAGCCTACATTTTATACATTTTAAAAGGGTGTAGCACTGAACGGCTGGCGTTCAAGAACCATTTGCGGGCTTAATTATCTTCTAAACTTTTTCAAGGCTGCAATTTTGTCAAGTTCACAAGGAGCCTTAGCACCCTTTTCCGAAGCTTTCCTAAACACTTATGCCTTTTAATAAAATTTGTTAGTCAGACAACATGCTCCTAGACACCTCCTGATGTTTTGTTATCGTAGAGTAACACAGCTCTTCCCCCTTCAACACCGATTTCAGTTTCTCAGTCTTTCAGTTAAAAATTTGGTCACTAGCAGCCTATACTAAAACCCATCTATATTTTTATATATGTGCAACCTAATTTTCTCAAATCTGACATTTTGTGTAGCAATCCTCACTCCAATATAGGTTGTTTTTTTTTTTTGTAGCGAATTGCATTATAAATCTAGGAAAGTTGAATTTTGGAGAGTATCTTTGATTTGTGCATTATTTCAAATTTTGAAAGTAATTAAGCACACAATGAAATCTGAACTTATCTTCAAATGTGAATTAAATAAATACCTACCCTGTCCTTTTTTTTAAGCGGGCAAATTCTAGTTTGGTGGAATCTGTGAAGACATTTCCTAGACTCATAATTCCTGCAAGATCAGACATTTTTTTTTCCATTAGTGCATTACATGATTGCAGCTCACCCAAGTTTCTCATATATACAGGTGACAATACTTTAACCTTTCTCTAATTGGTGAAAAAATAGTTTTCTTCCAGCAAGTATTAAACATAGATGTGGTCTATATTAAGAAGCAGCTAAATAATATGTATGTGCCATCTATTATGCTTAGTTGGAATGGAATTACCATGGAGATCAGCTTTTTTTCATACATCATTAGTCTGTGGTCTCTATGCCAGGCTGGCTCTCATCCAGTTTTTGGTATACTCAGTGTGAACCTGGTCTCTGTACTTTTCTATCCACAATAGCATTGACCTTTAAACTTGCAAAAACGTAAATCTTTCTCTGCTTAAAAAACCAACAACAATCCAGGACATCCTTTTTTTCAAAATGCAAAAATGTGAAATAATTAATCATATGACCAACCTCATCCTTACTACCTAGAATCTGAAAAAAAGTGACTTACGGCCATTTTTTTCACATTTACAACCTTTGTAGCATCTCCATGATCACATGATCAAAATTTAGATGCTTGGCAACTGCTTCAGATGTATGACCATTGTTGTGTCCCAAGGTCACTTAAATGTCTCACTTAACCAGATAGATTTTGGGCTCAATTGCGGTCTTAAGTCAAGGACTACCTGTACCACATATTTTCATTAAGAAAAAACCCAATTCTAACTTCTGCTACTATGAAGGCTTATTGTCTACTATTTACAAATACAAAGATATTATCTTAGAGAATGATGAATACTCTATTGCCCAAAGGCCACTTACCGGTACATTTCTCTTATCTTTTGCTTTTTTCATAACAGGCTCTGAAATTCAAAAACAGAATTGAATCAGATGATTGGCTGAAACACTTTCCCTGCTAAAATTTAGCTAATGTTCTCTTGCCCTCTGCTGGAAGAAAACAATACCATGTATGTTCCTTGTATACAGAAACCTGAGATTGTGTTTGACCTAAAATAAAGCAACAGACGTTTTTGTAGCTCATACTTTCAAAGATACCTTAAGATGATTTTCTGTTATTGTAAGAATATGAACAGACTTGCACATAGTGCTAAACCAGGGGTCTTCAAACTTGGAAAGTTTAAGACTTGTGGACTTCAACTCCCAGAATTCCTGAGCTAACATGACTGGAGGAATTCTTGTCATGTTAGCTCAGGAATTCTGGGAGTTGAAATCCACACGTCTTAAAGCTGTCAAGTTTGAAGACCCCTGTGCTACACCATGGTTTGTTTATAAGCCACACTGATTGTGCTGACATGATTAAGGAAATCATATAATGGCTGGGATTAAAGAATGTGATTGGCTGCTTTATGTCTCAGTGTGTTGTGCAAATCCAAATAAGTTTTGGAACACTTTAGCATGAACTTGGACCATTGAATTAATTCAGTGAACCATAGCTCGTTTCTTGTATCTGCTGCACAATTCTTTGCTAAAATTTAGAATCCTTTGCTGAAATTTAGTCCTGATCGTGACTGAAGAGACAATAGAGAAGTGTTTATTTCACATGGTTCTATTTTGATACCTCCAATTCTTCTTATAAGCGCACAGAGAAAACAAAGAAATTAACCCTGAGCCCTGCAATTTTATGAAGGAAAAGAAAATATAAAATACATTGAGATTTCTGTGCTTTGTTTTCTTTTTAAGTCAACCTTTAGGATTACAGATTGTCCTCAATTTATAATCATTCATTTAGTGTCTGTTGAGATTTACAAGAGCACTGAAAAAAGTGACATGACCATTTTTCACACTTATGGCCATGGCACCATCCCCATGGTCACAGGATCAAAATTCAGAACACTTGGCAACGGGTTCCTACTTACGACCGTTGCTGCGTCCCAAGGTCATGTGATGATCTTTCTGGCAAGCAAAGTCAATGGGGAAACCAGATTCGCTTAACAACCATCTTGCCAACTGAAGAACTGCAGCGATCCACTTAACAACTGTGGCAAGAAAGGTGGTAAAATGGGGCAAAACTCAAATGTCTCGCTTAGCGATGGAAATGTTGAGCTCCATTGTGGTCCTAAGTCGAGGACTTCCGGTATATTTCTTTTTCCTCTTCCGTCCCCTTCCTTTCTTCCTTCTCCGCAGTAACTTTGATCCTGCAAAAGACAGACACAAAAGTGTCTCAGAAATTTTAAAAAAATACAGTAAATTAAGTTTCAATTAAGTAAATAGGTGATATATTCACCATAAACTAAAATATTCCATACCCATATTTCTGAATAATTACATAAGTAAGTGAGGCAGCCTTGTGTGCTGGACTTCAAGTTCATTCATTTTTATTGGATAACCTTTTATAAACTCCACTTTTCTTTTATCAGAGGTTTAATTTATAATTTTGAGGTAGAAAAATCACATCAAGCTGCTTCCACCCACCTAAAAAGTTTGGACTTCGACTTTCGCCCGCGCTTTTTTCCCCTTTCTTTTTCTTTTTCACCTCAGGCCCTCCCTGTTCGCTTCGTTGCTAGGCAAATCAGCCACCTTCGCGGCACCCTATTGGTGGGCAGGTGAGTCTCCTCCGACCCTTCTCGGATTTCCCTCCGGCCATTGGCTGGCCGACATCCCGCCCTCGCCTTGCCGCCAGGTAAGGACATGTTTCCGAGCTCTGATTGGCCTCCCAGGGGGAGGAAAGGCAATGGCTCCAGGTGAAGTGCCAGCCCGGCCCCGGCTTCCTATAGGTCGGCAGGTGCAGAGAGGCGGGCGCTTAGGAAGCGCGCCATTGGCTGACAGGGAGGCCGGCGGGCGGGTGCGCGCGGGGAGGGAGGGAGGGAGGGAGGTTCGGGGCTGAGACAAGAGGCCTCCCTTGGTGAGGCGGGGCCGCCATGTTGGGAGGCGGGAGAGCCGCTGGGTGGGGGGGGGGGAGCCAGGCGGCGTGAGCGCGCCTTCTGTAACCTGCCCGCGCACACGGGAGCGCGCCTCCTCCTCAGGAAGGGAAGAGAAAACAAACAAACAAAAAAAAAAAACAGAAGGGGGCGGGGAAAAAAAAAAGAGGTCCTGTCAGGAAGGGGCGGACGCGAAGGACGACTCCGAGCCCTTCCCTCTCGTCTCCTCCTCCGGGAAGTTGGAGCCAAACTTCCGTGGAGCGCGAGCGAGTCGGGAGCGGGAAGGACAGAGAGGCGACCCCCCCCCATCATCCCCTCACCTCACCTCACCCTGGCAATGAGGGGTGGGTGGGGATACCTGTAGAAGGGGGACCCCGAAGTAGGTGAGCTTTTTTTGGGGGGGGGGGGGGGAAAAAAAGGGGGGGGGGGGGGGGGGGGGAGACTGAGGGGAGGGAGGGAAAGGGGGCAATCAGGAGATCCAGGAATAATGGGGGAGAGTGAGAAGGGGGTAATAGGAAAAGAGCCCCCCCCACAAGCAGCCCCCTCCCCATTAACCAAGCCAGGAAGCCAAACTAGTGGGGACCCCCCTGAGGAAAGGCTGGCCAGGCAATATATTACTGCTTTTTAAATTAATGTATTAATATTAATCTTTCTCTCCAATTAGGTCCTATTGTTTTATCATCCAGAGCTGGTTGGTAGTAAAAAAAAAAAACACTGGGTTCCCAAGCTGGAAGAGGTGAGTTCTAATCCTGCCTAGGACCGAAAGTCACCAAGGGCAACTTCTTGGCTAGTGGCTCTTTTTTTTCACCACCACCCCTCTGGGGGAAAATATTAGCGAGCCGCTTCTGACAAATGTTGGCAAGAGAGCGACGTGCATTTGTTTGTTCCTGTCGTCTCCAGGAATTGCGATTGATTCGAAACCCATAACAACCACAACAGTCACAACAACATGGTATTGTTAGAGCCGAAAAGAGAAGTTAGGGAGAAAGCTTTTCCCTTGCTACTAATATTCATAGTATTCTCTCTCTCTCCACATGTCTAGTTAGAACATATTCTTTAGCTGAATATAGATTAATTTGATATTTAGGATAAGTTCAGATGGGACAGAGCCAACACAGGATAGGAGAGAACGTAGCTTCTATTTCAAACTATTAGAATTTTCTGTGTAAAATAAGTATTGGTTTGTAAATTTATTTCGGTTATTCCATAAGCTGCTTGGAGTCTATTTCTACTTCATCTCTATAGTGGCAGATAAGTTGTAGTGATCATTGTGTATATGGTGGGTATATGTGCGTTGTATAATAATTAGTTCATATTATGTTGCTAGAGAGGTTAGTGTGGCAGAGAACTGGTGAAAAGGATGCAAACATTGAGGGTGTTACTGTTCCTTTTTTATTATCATCAAACGCTCTATTGTATATAAACTCCTTCAGTCTTACTGGACTGCAAGGAGCACAGGAACAGCAACAATAGGAAACATTGGCAACAAAGTGTACGTAAATGTATAGTAAAAGTGGTATTGTGTTATAGTGTATCTACACAAACCTTTCGCATATACAGAGAATCATTCTGTATTCTCCGTAGCAGATCTTAGAATCTAGCCCACCTGGTCTAATCTCAAAAAGCTTAAATTTGGAGCCAGTTACTAGTGGGATGAAAGACCACCTGGAAATGCCAGTGCTGTAGACTTACCTGGGAAGGCAATTAAAATGCTCCAGAAAGGGGCATCAAATTACTTCCATATTGTGGTGTGAAAAAACAAGTTTTGTCTGTGGGGAATTAGAATAGAATAGAATTCTTTATTGGCCAAGTGTGATTGGACACACAAGGGATTTGTCTTTGGTGGATATGCTCTCAGTGTACATAAGAAAAAATAAAATACATTCATCAAGAATCATAAGATACAACACTATATTACTATACGATATCACATTTAAATAGGGGAGCATTAAGGTGATGGAAAGCCTATCACTATGAATAGTGTTATATTTACACACACACACACACACACACACACACACACACATATACATGTGCTGTTTGTGTATTATGAATGTTAATATTGTATATACTATTACCTTTGTGTGTATGAACTTTATTAACATTATATAGCCATTTATATGTATATTGGATCAGTTTAATGTTATATTAGATTAATAATTCATATAGTTAAATATTATTCCACAGTGAAAGGCATAAAAGGTATTTGTTAATATTTTCTACAGTACTTTCCTTTGTCAGAACACCTTGCAAAATCAAACTTTTGCATCAAATGGGGTTGGGGGAAATGTTGTGTTATAAGAAACACTCACCAGTGTCTCTGCAGGTAGACACACACACACACACACGTACACACACACACACACGTAAAATGTCAATGGATAGACCTGAGAGAGGAGAGTTGTATCATCACTGTTCTGCAAATAGTGTGTTATCATTGCTTCTTACCTGGTGGAGGTAAGATAGACCCCTCCCTATTATGTAAGGGATTGACAATGTCAGTGGAAAAGATGTATGAAGTCTATTTTGCTGGGAAGGCATAGAAGGAAAGAAAATTTGAGGTATTATTTGATTTGTATCCTATCTTTGGCTTTGATGATGGTCCTTCCTGCCATTTTCTCCCACAGTAACAGTTGACTTCCCTGGCTGAATGTGGACTTCAGTCTGAGATTCTGCTTTTGTGGCTGGTTATGTGTGTGGCACAAACACGCCTATTGCATGAATCAAAGGTGGTTTGATCAAAGGGTAAAAAAGGGTGAGCTGATACTATTATTATTTAATACAGTATAAAGGGCTTTTGTGCAAGAGAGGAGAAGTTTTTGTCCCTCCATGAGCATTACAACTAAATAAACAAAGGAATTGGTGCCAGGGTAATAAAAAAGAAGATGCAAGAATTTCAATTAAATATAATTGGGCTAAATTATAGTAATGGGATATTGAGCCAGGAGGTAAACTTGATAGGGAAGGAACAGGAAGTCTTTTTAAGAAGGTGAGCATGTGTGGTAAGTGGGTGAGGTCCTGTGAGTAGAAGGTGAAGGGTGTGTGTTGCCTTCTCTTAAATTATAATGTGAAGAGGGCATTGGTGGTATGTGAGGAATGCAAGCCTGTCTGGTAGCTCAGAAGGTACAGCAGGGGTGGGGAACTATGGCCCTTTTATGAACTATGGACTTCAACTCCCAGAATTCCTGAGCTAGCTCAGGAATTTTGGGAGTTGAAGTCCACAAGTCATAAAGGGGCCATAGTTGCCCACCTCTGAGTTACAGGCTAGCTGAAGTTAGAGGCTGTCTGCAGAAAATGGGAAGGCTGTAGTCCTTTGCACGCTTAAAAATAAATATATATATTGCATTGCTACTTTGGCAGATCCAGAAATAGAACGGTATGCTTTTAAAGGAGGAGAGTTATATAGAGATAATTTCTTGGAAAACTGACCTGATTCTTTTCTTTGTGTGTGAAATGAAGAGAGTTTCACATAATTTAGTGACAGGTAGCCACACTCCAGAACACAAAAGTTTTAGAGTTGCATTTGCCCATAAAATATAATGTACAATACTTAAATATTCACAAAATTTAAGACACAATTTGTGAATTTGACAAGTTTCGTAAAAGTTCTGAGAGTTGGGCCTGTGGAAATGCTAATTTTTTCATTAAAGGTATTTGCTTTCTAACTTCTCTAACTAAATGTAAGGACGCTACAATTCATTCTATACCTCAAGGCTGTGATTAAGATAAAAATGTAAATTTTTCCTATTTTTAAGACTTCCTTGAGTCAAACCTTACTGGTGATTAGAAAATTTCATTTTGATCAGATTATATCATACATTTTGTAGTTTTAAGTGCTTGGAAAGGAAGGAGTTTGGAATCAAGCCAGCAAATTTGTTTGCTAAAAATGATTTAGTTTTTCAAGCAGGGATAACTAACATTAGTGGCCAAAATGTTACCTGCTTTGCTTTAGCAGGTGCAACTTCTATTCTAGAATGTATACAATTTAAATGCAATTATGCTTAAAGTTACAAAGTTGTTTTTCCCCCCAAGCGGTAACCTTAAGCAACAGTATAAAACTTTATTGTGGCAAGAAAAAGAACATCAATTACATTGTTGATTTGTTCGACTTTGCATGGCCTTTTTAGGTTTGATTCAGTATTATATTTTCCATTCATTTGTTTTCTTCGTTGTTGTTTTTGTGTATAGACTTTTGTGTGCATGCAGTCTAATGACATTTTTACTGGGAAGAAGCATAAAAATGTTGTCTGTTCATCTATTGCAACCACCCATCATTCTTTGAATGATTTGGAAGACGCAACAATAAAACAAGGACATCGTTTCCTCATTTGAATGTTGCATGGTGTCATGCCCAGCAGGATGGGATCAAAGATGAACACAAAGAAAGACTTCATTAGAGTAAAAACTCATTACAATGGGTAAGTTACATTAAGGTGTTTCACGCACTGCATTCTTCTTCACTCATTTCGTTCAAGCCATACAGGTAGTTCTCGCCTTGCAACCATTCATTTAAAGACTTTTGGGAGTTATAACAGCGCTGGGGGGAAAAAGGGACTTGCAACCAGTTCTTGCACTTATGCTAATCATATCAGCTTCACACAACCCAACCAGTGAGCAAATCTAAATGAAGTTTCTTGTACAAATGTCTGGGTATAACATTATATAAGGCATGCTTGGAAAAAAAAAAACAACTCTTAGCTTTATGTCAGACTTTCTTTTATTTTCACATATCGTAACATGGATTTGGTGAAAAACCTTACCCAGCCCCACATGTTCTGTTTCCCATCACCTTCAGTGGGAAGGGCTTTTAAATTGATGCAGTGTAGAATTGTTTAATTACTCCATCTGGGTTTATTGATCCCACGTAAAGCGTGGTATAAATAATTTTACCCAAGGTTGCCACTACACAAAGGACTTCTATTTTCATACGATCTGACGTGTCACACATTGTGGAGGCGTCAACATCAAGATAACAAAATTAGTGTCAAGAATTATTCGGGAAGGGTGTTAAATTATTTACGATGTCTATTTCTGGAACAGAACACCTTTGATAGTGTGACTAAAGTGAAGTCTTGCGAGCATGAGGAAATTGTACTATTCATGTTTGCTAATGTGCGTCCTTGAATGCTTAAAAGGTGGATACTTTATATATTTTGGGTGTGACAAATATATGACTTAAAGTTGTACAAGTGTTCATCCTGAATGGCTAAAATACAGGTTGCAGTAACATAATCTTCCTTCAGGAAGGAAGTCCGTTGAGGAATGTATTTTAATTGAATTCTCCCAGGACTATACTTCATGCTGATATTTGGAATAAAGGACAGTTCTCCTGAGTATGAAGTCTTCTGCAACATTTCAAATCTTCCTTAACCGTTCTTCACTCCCGTACGTTGAGAAGTGTCCACCTCTCTTTTTTTTCACAGGATCTAGCTTGCTGCCATTTAATACTAGTTTTTTTTTAATTACTTTATTGTAGTTGCTTAGTTATGTTTGGTTATTCTTGATTTATTATATACAAACTGAATGTTTCCATATACCCAGTTGATGCTATCTTAACCCAAAATGGGAACGGAATTTTCCATTTTATTATTTGCACCTGAAAATAAGGATGGTGCTTTTTTTCCACCAGAAATTCAGTTACTCGACTGTAAAACATTCGATATTTTTACTTATCAGTAAAAAGCAGAAATTAGGGCAAACGTGGCTCATAATTTATCTTTGAGACATAATGATAAATGTTACCAACACTTTCTGAGATATCCAGTAGACATCTAAAATATAATTCATTCACAAGAGCCTAAAGATCTTGGCCTGGGGGCCTATTTTACAACCTTTCTTGCCACATTTGTTCAGTAAATCACTACAGTTGTTAAATTACTAACACGGTTGTTAAATGAATCAGGCTTTCCCACTGATTTTGCTTGTCAGAATATCCCAAAAAGTGATCACATGACCCCAGGACACTTCAACCGTCATAAATATGAATCGGTTGCCAAGCATCCAAATTTTAACCAAGTGACCTTGGGGATGCTGGATTATAAGTGTGAAAACCAGTCATAAGTTCCTTCTTTCAGTGCTGTTGTAACTTTGAACGGTCACTAAATGAACTGTTGTAAGTCGAGGACTAGCTGTAATGGCATTAGGAAAATGCATGTATCCCTAACGTCTTTCCTTGCATTCAGTGCATTCATTCAGTAGAGCTACCCAATTACATTCTGCGGGATCGTTCCTTTTTGAAATCTCATTTTCATTTACTTATATTTATTTGCCTGTGCACAGATGTTGCATAGTTTCAAAACGTATTTACAATTTCTTGAAGTAGGAAGTTGACAAGGATCTTGACTGAGCTGTATCTGCCTTTTTACAAACACCAAGCGTTTTAAGCATGTATTTACTTAATTTGTGAATTTATCTCTTTCAGGGACATCCTCATCACCAACCTGGGTGCCTCAATGAACTATGATGAACTTTGTGATGAAGTGAGAGAAATGTGCAATTTATCCCAGGAGCAACCAATTACCCTGAAGTGGATTGATAATGAAGGTATTTTCAGGCTTTTTGTAACTGTGGTTTTGGAAAACATTTTTCCCTAAAGCACTTTATGGCGCAGTTAATTATCTGGGCTGAAAAGGAGATATTAAATGGATAACTTTTTATTTCAAAAGCTCTTTCAAACTGTCACTCGATCGGCTGCTTCAGATTAGAGAAATAAAACTGAAGACGTTAAGGCCATACCACATCTCACTTTATTTTGAATTAATAGCCTCAGATGTTCAGACTAGACACAATTTCCCTTTAAACCTTGCCTCATGAGTTGACTGAATTTTACGATGGTTTTGCTGAAAATTGAAAGTTAGCTTTGGTTTTCTAGTTAAACGGTGGTATAACAAACAATGGGTTTGCTTAAACTTTAGAGCATTTGCTTAATTGTTGCCACCAAAAAACACCTGCGATACTGACCAGATTTACAACTTTCATAATATATGACCATAATAGTCAGGCTCCATTATGGTGGGTTGAGTAAAATTCATAATTGTTATGTTGTTTGCTTAAACCATGGTTAGCTTGTTCTTCAGTCAGCAAAGACAATAATATAGAAGGACTGATATATTCAAATTCTGGTGGTTTCTGTCTTCAGTTGTTTCACACTATTCCTTGGGGACCTCACTTTGTGCTTCTCTCTGAATAAGTGACATTAAATTCCATCAATCGTCTGTTGATAATTTGCTTTAGGAAAAGGGTGTTTTCCAAGTAAAGAAGATATAATAACACACTAAACGATCCCGCAGAATGATTGCCATCCTTTTAAATGTTTGCTCTGCTAATTAGAGGGAAAAATTGTGACTGAGGGAATGAATAGCCAGCTCTATTCTGCTATCCTGATTTTCAGTGTTTTGTTTTTATGCCAGGATGAAATACAGGCTATCATTTCCCCACAGACCTTCCAACGTGTAACAGCTATGAGATGGAGTTACACTCAACGTTTATGAAGGGAAGGGTCTCAGGGTCCCAGAACAATTCTTTTTCAACCACTAAGTGTTCCTTCTCCACTCTTCTGAAATGTGAATTCCCGCGATCTCCAAATTGCACTGTTTGAAAATAAGGGGGTGGGGGGGAAAAGACTTTTTTTAATTGGAGAGTTGCATGCACGGATTGCTTCCATAAATGACGTTCTTTCTTTTTTAAATAGGTGATCCCTGTACCATTTCGTCTCAGATGGAACTAGAAGAAGCCTTCCGTTTGTATTGTCGGTACAGAGACGAAGGGCTTATTATTCATGGCAAGTTTCGAGACTCGTAGTTTAGCTATCGTTTTAAACTGTGTCTCCTCAGATCAGAAATCCTGCTTTGGCTCTTTCCTTCTGTCTTCTTTCTCAAACAAACTCAAAATGCACCTTTGGATTGGTGCTGAACAACAAGATCTGATCTTACCCATTTTACACTTACAACACAATCCTGTCTACCTACCGCAACAAATAACCAGAAGATGTGCTTTGTTGTCTCTTTGATACCCAAGCCACTGGTGAAATTTCTTTTCTCTGTTCCAGCTCTGGAACATTTTCCTAAGAAGACCTTTCTTGCTATTAATGCCTCTTTCAGGACTTACTTGGTGAAGATGGTCACTTTGCGGGGAGGGCCTTTACCATAGGAGTCTCTTGCCTATTTTAACCAAGTCACTCTTTTACGGCCGTTAAAATGCTTGTTAATTGTCACTGGCGTGTTTCATTGCAATTTTCTTGTCTAACAACTTTGTGTTTTGATCTTAGGAGCCATGTAACACTTTGATCAAGCAGAACTGGTGTATAAGTGTCTTAAATGATAAAATAAATGAGATGCAGTTATAATTACAAGCTGTTTGTTCCAAAAAAACAACAACCACCCTCACCCAAAATCATAGGAATTTATCTTCTGCAGCTTCTTAAGTGTATTGTTCTGATTTGAATTTATGCTTCTTGTATGAGAATACTCCTTGCTCATCTTTTCCTCTTTACAAGGACTGTTTTCACCGCCAATAACTCCTTTTGTGCATGTTGCTTTAGTGCACCCTGAGCCTGACTTTCCTTTCAGTAATAGGTGTCTGCAAAGAATTCTCCTATTTTTAGAGTCTCACTTTTGTGATTAAGGAAGTAGCCTGTCGCTCGCCGTTTAGTCAAAAGACTGAGTTAGCTAGGAAAGACCCCTCTGCGGGAAATATATATTTATGCTGCGTATTTTATGTTTTGATGCAGTCTTCCCAAGCATTCCAGAAAAACCCGGCATGCGGTGTCCTGGAGAAGATCGTAAGTATTGGGCACAGAATTCGGGGTTTTTAAAAACATTTTGGCGCATCCCGTCCTCTTTTGATTTTCTTTCAAAACCTTTCTGGCCTGCAAAGGAAAAACGCCAATGTAGTTGTGATGCTTTGCTGGGCAGAAATTTTCTCGCAGGTAAATACTATTTAAATAGTGTGTTGTTTTATTCAAATTACCCCAAGGCAATCCATGTCGCAATTGTCTACATTTCTTTCAAGCAGCATTTTTTATTTCACCCTGGGGTGTATGTAGGGCTGCTTTATACCAAGATAGCAAAATTCCAGGAAAAACTTCAGAGAGGTGCATTATTGTGTCTGCATTCTCTGAAGTTCTATTTTATTTATTTTTTGCTCTAAAGAACTGCACATTCTTATTCTAAATCAGTATTAACAGAATGCCTTCCTCTTTATTTGGAGGCCTTATTTTCCCAACTGGATTTATCTCAGTGGCGAAGAATACAAACAGTCTCAAATGTGGAAAGGCAAACAGGCAGTTGCTCATTTCAGAGTCTTTTGCTCCTGATGTAATTAGAAGCAGAAAATTGGGTACACGGTGGCATCTCTGGGAAGGGCCAGAAAAATAAAGATGTTGGTTGCAACTGCGTGATCAGTAAACCATATCCCTTTGTACATAGATGTGATGTTGATCTGTGTACAGGCAGTACTCGACCTATAACCACAACTGAATCCCAAATCTCTGCTGCAAGTGAGAGTTGTTAACTGAATTTTGCCCCATTTTAAATACTTAAATACGCCTAAATCATTATCGCTCGTGTAGGGCTCTAATAGCAGTTGCCGTGTGGTGGATAGGTCTCTTCACTTGGACCATTGCTAATATTGCATTGAGCTAGGTCAGCGATCTCCAACCATGGTGACTTGAAGACTTGTGGACTTCAACTCCCAGAAATCTCCAGCCAGCATGGCTGTGTGAGGAATTCTGGGAGTTGAAGTCCACAAATCTTACAGTTGCTAAGTCTGGAGACCTCTGAACTAGGTGTCCAATTTGGGTTGAAACTGAGACCCACCATTGCATGAACCTTGATTGGGTTGAGGTCTACCTCCATTGTCTGACTGCTTTGATGCTACATTCAAATTATCTTGATTTAGCCCTCTGAAATGAGAAATTTGCAACTTTATATGGTAAAACTATTATGGTTTTCTCTATAAGCATGTGCCATGTGCCCCCCCCCCCAAAATGGAGGTGCACTCCTACAGAGCCAAGCTATCTTAGGCCATCTTGGTGTGATTTTTGTCTTTTAACAGGTCCTTGTCTTGTGACCGTTTGTAAGATAAACCCCTAAGGTCCATATTTTGCAAGAGACGCATAGCGGAGAGATCCTTGCCTCAGTAGGTCTTTATTGAAAGGGTTATATAATAATAAATGGCTTTTACAGCTTTGTCCTTGCAGAACATGCCATATACTTTGAATCTTTACAGTATTGGTGATGGTAGCTGGAGAAATGTTTTTGTGCTCAGCTCAGAAATAAATGGAAGGAAACAACCCCAGCAGCTAAATGTAAAACATGCCTCTCTACATCCAAGAGCTACATTGATTTAAAACACTGGCCGCTACAGTTTTGTGGTTTGTTACAAGCCATTGTTTCCACTGTGGGGGTCAAAGCCCAACAAAATTCAGCTTTTTCGCACAAATACAGATAGTCTTCAACTTAAGCGACCCCAATTAACATTCCTGTTACTAAGTGAGACCAGTTTTGCCCTATTTCACGATCTTTTTCACCACGGTTGTTAAGCAAATCTGGCTTCCCCCATTGACTTCGTTTGCTAGAACATCCTTAAAAAGGGATTGCGTGACCCCGGGACACGGCCACCGTCGTAAATACGAGTCAGTTGCCAAGCGTCTGAATTGAGATCACGTGACTGTGGGGATGCTGCAAAGTGTCAGCGTTCCAGCAAACCTCCATCCCAATCAGTAACTCCGAGATGAGCATAATCTCAAAAGTAACCTTCATTAGAATAGCACCTGGCCCACCTGTGGAATCTCGAAACTAGAAGTTTCCCCGATTTCCCACAATGTCCCAAACTACAATCCATCTCCCTTTTCTCCCATCATCATATCACATGGACTAATCCGCCCCAGTGTAAGTTCCTTTTTCTTTGCTGCGTCACGCTTAACAACCTTGAACTAAGAAAAGAATTTTGTTTTGTCTACTTGGAACTACTCGGCCGGAATCACCCCTCTCCCACTTTCTCAGGCTATGTGGCAGCCGTTTCCAAAGCGGACACCAAGTTGTAACTGTGAAAAACGGTTGCAATTCGCTGTTTCAGTGCTGTTGTAAACGGTCACTACTAAACCAACTCTTGTGAGACTTGAACCACTGTAATCACACTAGCCGCAGCTTTTGGCCTAACTTCAGCGTATCGGTAGTTTAAAAGATTCATTTCCAGGTAGAGCAAGGTTCTCCACCACTACAGAGCAGGCCTAAATAACCTTTGGGGTGCCCTTTAATTTAGCAAAAAAAAAAAAACAACGGTGCAGTGATCCAAAGGAAGTGGCTTGATTTTGAGGAGATCTGGTTTTTTAAACATCCAGTCAGCCTGTTGTAGCTGTGGTGCTACCAGTTGGATGCGTGTCTTGCCACAGAATGGTGAGGGATTGTGGCACAATGGTGGTGCTGGGGAAAAGAATCAGATCTGTAAAGAGTTGACCCACCTGTCCCTAGAGCTGAACCTGTGGCCACAACGATCAGCTACACTTATTAAAGATATCTCCATGGCATTATCTCACAAAGTCGCTTGATTTGACAGTCCCATTATAAATTATGGATTTGTATAGATTAGTGTAACTCGCTTGACCTAATTCTTCACTGATATGTGTAGGGAGCATGCTCCCCTGCTGTTTCAGTGGTCAGCCTGAATTACACATGAAATACTTGACTGCTGTAGAGAAGACAAGTTGATAAATGTATTGGAGATGCACTAAATTAATACCGTGTATTTCATCTTCCTCTGATTCCGAAAAAGGTGTCTGTACTCAGGAATCAACGTTAATTAATGGCATTAATTTCCGACTATTAGCAGCTAATATCTGCAGCAGTTGTGTGTAAATCAGTTTGTTTCCATTTATGTCACCATTAGAGGCTTTTAAACCTCCAAATAATTTCCTTCTGTATGCCCTGTGTATCTGTCTATAGAATAGTTTGTGCTCCATCGTTCTGCTATAATTCCCACTAAAAATAACTCGGGTAAAGCTTGTTTTAATTGATCCTAAAATTCTCACTCATTCCTCCTGTCTGGTTGTTTACAGTGTGAGCCATATTTAAATTTCTCTGCCTGGAAATTATTTTGGGAGACCGGAGCGAGAAATTTCAATTCTACCGTTTCCCTCAAAATAGGCTGCCACTTAAATTAGCAATCTGTTACTTAGTACATGCTAATTTTCTACAATGGCACGAAAATATGGACATTCTGGAATGAATCGAACAGACAGTATGTGGTTAATTGTCCCTCCTCTCTTTATCATGAAAGGAGATTTTGTTTGTATTAGGCTGTTACACAATACTTACATTTACTGCTGTGTGAAGTAAACACTCTTTTGTGGGTTGCCATTTTTTTAAGGGATCACTTCCTCCAAAATGTATTGCAGACTATTTGAATTCACATCATTTCCTCGTGTGATTATTTTTTTAAAATTCTCAGTAGGGATTTTCTTTCGATAGGACTGCGTGGCAAATGACACAACTCTTTTTTGAGTATAGGTATGACCACAATTCACCCCAAGATTTCTGTTGTTAAGTGAGGCAGAGGTTGAGTGAACTTGTGCCGTGCCCCATTTTTCTTGCCACCGTTGTTCAGCGAATCACTGCTCCGTCCCACAGTTGTTAAGTGAATCTTAAGCTTCCCCGTTGACTTTGCTTGTCAGAAGGTCGCAAAAGGAGAAATCACGTGACCCTGCAGCCGTCATAAATGCAAATCATTTCAGCCAAGCGCCTGAATTTTGATCACGTGACCATGCTGCGATGGTCGTAAGTGTGTGAAAAACAGCCATAAGTCACTTTTTTCTGTGCCGCCGTGTCTCAAAACTTTACGAATTGCCTTGTCCTTCTGAAACTCTTAAAAAGGGCGTTTTATTCTTGTTTGGGGGGTGGGGGCTTTCTTTGTGCCCTTGGGCAATACAGTGTAGTCCATGGTCATAAGTGTGAAGAACAGTCACAAGCCCGTTTTGAGTGCCGTCTCTAAACGAACCGCCATAAGCCGGGGACTACCTGTACATTTGCAGCAGTGTCATTTTCAAGCAAAGCAGACTTCCCAGTTGCTCGTTCACACACACACACACACACACACACGCGTGCCCGCACACCCCCAACAACAACAACGAAACCCCTCCCTGGGAATCCTCCCTCTATTCCCTCCCCTCCACTTCCTGTTTGTCTTCACAAGTGGGAAAAGGAGCTTCTCCCTCCCCCAGAATTTTGTGGTGCACAAGTTCCCTTCATTCATCGGAGTGGATGGCGATAAGGGCGCAGGGGAGGAATTACACCGCCTGGTTTTTTTGCAAGGGGGGGGGGAGGCCCTTCCTGGGGGTGGTTGCTTGATTCTGCAATCAAAATCCAATCCAAAATCCCAATCTCTTTAGGGGGCCTAAGAGCCACGGGAGTTAGGCTGAACGCCTGGAAACCTGCCATCCCACGGCGTTTAAAGTACATGCAGTATTTTATCTGGGTTTTTTTAAAAAAAATTTATTTTACGGCAAACACCCCTGGTGATGCTTTCCCTTCTGGGCATTAGAGAGGGAATAAAAATTGCTCCTTAAACAGTCTTGCTTCCAGATTCCATCCTCAGCTGGCTCTATAACCTGGTCTTCTTAGAACCCGATCAGTTCTCCTCCTTCCCTCCCTCCCTCTCTCCCCCTCTCTCCCCCTCTTCCAGGACCCTTGCCAACGTACCCTTCCCTCCGTAACATTTGGGGGAAACCGAGTCAAGGGCTGCTTTTTTTCTCTCCTTTCTCACCTCCCCAGCATCCATGCCGCG